TAGCGGGGCAAAAGAGGGACGCGGGAACAGATGCTTCCGGTGGTGGGGAGGCGGGTCGGGAGGTGATGAGCTGCCAGGTTTAATAAACCGTGCGGCAAAGATGAATGTGACGTAACCGCCAGAGAGTGATTAAAAGGGCGGGCAGGGGGAGGAAGATGCTGTCAAGTTGATGCATGTGCAGGCAAACAGATGGAGGTAAAAATGCACAAGAGGGGATTTCCAAGGTTCGCCAAAGGAGAGCACTGCTGGAGGAGGGCTTGCCTGGAAAGCTTACTATTGATTTTTTTTCTTTCTTTTTTTTTTTTTTGGTTGTTTCGCCACTGTTACCTAACTGGGCCTTTGTCAAATCCGCCACGAGAAGGGCAGCTGCGCTCGGGCCTGAGGGTAGAAACAGGAGGCGGATCCTTTATGACGCCGGGTGGGTCAGAGAACAAAACTTTCGAAACCCCTACAAGCAAACTTCGCAACGTCATGTATACGACGCGGCGTTGTGAGCAGCGCACCCGACCTCTCGGCATCGGAGAGACCAAGCAAGCCCGACACAAATGCGGGGCACCGTTTAGGAGGGCAGAGTTTGAACAACGATTTCTTTCGAGTCAACTATCATGAAAGCGCGTCATGTTCAGACGCGGCGCGATTTACTTTTTAATGTACTGCAAGTATACCCTTTTTCCTCTTTAACTCATTCAGTGCCAAAGACGTTTTCTTCATGTTTTTTCAGAATTCAGGCATTCAATCTAAGGTACGTCTTTATTATGTACCCCCCCCCAAATAAAAACAAAAAACTTCATGTTGTAAGGGTAAAGAAAGTATCTGAAAATGGCCGGCATTAAATTTTGAACTCAAAACATCATTTCCCACGTAACATTCGAGACTTTAGGCCTGTCCAAATTTTGCCACGGTTTATTGCATCCATGGAGGCGACATGAGGCCAGAGAAGCCTTCAAAAGACCCCAGCCTGGCGCGTCGTAAAGTTGCACCGGTGTCGTGATTATGACTCAAATTCTCGTCCTTCCCCGGATGTTCCCCGCGCGGGCATTTTAGCACTGACCATGGAGCTTTTTTTTTTTTTTTGGTGCTGTATGAATTATTTTTGCTCCATGTGCAGCACTTTGTAGACAGCAATGGTTGTTTTCAAGTGCTCTGCAAATACAATTGAGTTGAGAATATTTTAAGACTCTAGGCGAGTATGAAGAGCAGAAGCTAGCGACGCTAACGGCTCATCTCGGCTACCACGAGCCTTTTCTCAACACACGAAGACCGCCGCCTTGCCTTATGGCCAGACATGTCGCTGCTCCACAATAGTCTTCTTAGTCCGGCGAGAGCAACAGATTGGAAAAATCGATCGTTTGCTGTAAATTGGCCAATTGTAAAACGACATGCCCAAAAAGCGTGATTAGCGATTTGTCGACTTCAAGTTTTAGAAAGGCGATGCGGAGCTCCTGTTACAATGCGTTGTCTCACCTCAAGGAAACGGAACCAGGGCAATGGCGCACAAACAGGTTTCAAAATGTCCACATAGTAGTTGGGCGCTCGGAGTCACTCGTTACTTTCTGAAACGTGCCTCGTACTTTATCCCCCACCTCCCGATTAAGACTCCGTGGCCTGTTGTTCATTTTGGACTGCAACACTCTACGAGGCCATGAAAGAAGACAAACAAAATGATGACATTAGGGTTAAAGGGTCCATCCGAATTTTGGTCAGTAATCCCTGTCAATCTGTGTTTTGAAACGCCACCAATTGACTTTTTTGGCTGATTTTTTTTTCCCATGATTTAGTCGACAATATATTAAAAAAACAGAATGTTGTGGGGTTTTTTTTCTCTTTTTTCAAGTTATTCTGCTCAATCCTATTTAAGACCCACAATCACAAAAATGTTGTCAATCCGTACCACACAAAATATGAGGTGCCAAAATTTGCATGAAAACACGTGGACTCAAAGACGTGCTATTTCCAATGACCAATTTGACAAGTGAAAACTGTTTGGTGTCAGAGGAGCAGATGGGCTGCCTTTTTACTTGCTTGCATAGTAAAATCTGGAAATAATGCTGATTCACGTCACGCGGTTAATTACTTACCAAAGTCCATCTCCTTGAGTTCAGTTCAGGTGTAAGGGGTACATCAAATGAGAAAAGTGTTCGCCGCAGTGGAGGAGCCTCACAGTCCTCGCTCATCTTTGTTCATCGAGAGCCTTCAAGTCAAAAATAACATTTATCCATCTTCATTGGATTTCTGGTGACACTTTTGCTCATTATCGTTGCGGTGCCCTGGTCCGGCATGAGCATCGGCGACCCTCCACTTGAGCCGCCGCCGCCACCCCCCCAATAATCCTCCCGGGAAATGGTCAAGCGCGCCGAGTCGGGCTTCTCGTGTCCACGGCGCTCGACTGTCTTTCTTGGGAATTGTCGGCTCAAACTCACCCCGATTCATGTAATCCCTCTAAATCCATCCGCTACTGTACTTGCCCACTACCACCGCCGCCGCCTTCGCCAGGGGGTTCTATGACCATCTTCACCACTAAAAATCTTCATTTGGATACATTTCTTGTTAGAAATGCGCATGGAAAACCTGGGAGGATTCTGAGGCCAGCAGACTCGGACCAATTTAAGGAACCCAGAGTTCAAAGCAAACACGGTGCATGGGCATTTTGCGGTTATGCTGCACGCAAATGCAATAACCTGCCAAAAGAACTGAAGTTAGTCCCAAATGTAAATGTTTTTAAATTCAGGTGAACCCCCCCCCCTCCCCCCAACGTGATTAAGGTCTTTTCAGCATTCCTATCATAATTTTTTCCAAAATCTTGTTCTTACGCTGTAAGCTCTTTTAGTCATTTAACTGCTTTTTTATTTCTCTACTTTGCTTCTTCAATGTATTTGCCTTTAAATGTTGTTTTGTAACAGTGTGAAGCACGTTGTGTATGAAATGCGCGATATAACTCAGGCGGACCTAAAGTGGTTAACCACTTGAAGTGGGATCGACAATTTTCCCTCCATTTTCTGTTGTAGCTCTGTTGAAAATACATAATCCGTGATTGGAATATTGATTTACATAAAAATAAACACAAAACTAAAATTTGAATATTGTTGAGAATTTATTTACAATATGTACATGAAACATAAAAAATGGGTTAGCTCTGATGTTAACAGAATCTTATTGGTGGAAAACAATGTTCACAAATTCATATCGTCACCTTTAAAATGGACAAATCAGGGCCAAAACTGAAATCAACCCCAAGCTTGAGATTTACAATAATGCAGAACCAGCTTGCTGTCACTTCCAAAACACTGAAAGAGAAAGAGAAACAAGAAACATTCTTTAGCTCTCAAGTAAGACAACAAGTAGCAGCAATTCGATTTTCATGCCAGAGTTTGTCTTCTCAGTCCTGGAGTTTTGACGTCTAAACTGCTCTCACCCCCCCCCCCCCCACAAAAATCCTACTTACGTATTCTCGGATTTTTTTTTTTGTGGGGGGGGGGGGGGCACGGTCACAATGAAATCGACTCTTCTAGCGCCCTCTGCTGGTCAATGCTGATGATGTTTCATTTATGCGTTTTGGCATGCATTCAACCCATTTCAGGAGTGTTACAAATGAGTCTGAGAAATTTTGCTGCACCTCATGATTGTACATCATGAATGCTGCAGGGTTAATCTTTCACTTCTAGAAAAAAAAAACTTGAGTAAATTCACAGGCAAAGTTAAAAAAAAAACAATACCTGAAAATATGGCTGGTATTGACCTGATCTATTTTCAATGCATCACTTTGATTGCTATCTTGAGCAACTTTTCCAACCCCTCAAGTAACTCTTTTTTCCAAAAAAAGACACTCGTGACTTTAACTCCTGCTACGAAACTGAAAACATGAACAAGATAATTTTCAAATTGTATGCCAGACATGAGGACCAATTCTGTGATATCCTTCATTTTTTTTTTTTATTTAACAGATTGAAATCCTAAACCCACACAAATGTTACAATGGTGTTGGCCTATGGATCGAGTCAATCTTTTCTTCTAGCATTTTTTTCTCAACTCAACTCCACTGTATTTATAGAGCACAATTTTCTTAGTACTTACATCAAAGAGGACCCCCACTTCTTGGTCCGGTGATGGCGCGAACGACTGGTTAACATAAATGAACTGCGAAGAAATACAGGTGCCAGTGTTGTCATGAGTTGCCCGTTCTGAAGATACTGGAGGGGAAAAGTGCGGGCTAACAAAGTGGTCTCTTACCAGTTGTTCATTGGCATCCAGTTTGAGAAAGCGAGAGATGAACTGAGAAAGCGACTGCACCGTTCTGCTCCTGTCCACGGCCCATTTCTTAGTTTTCATGATGGGGGTGTCGCCGACTGCCTTCAACAGGACATCAACTACACATTGAAAAGAGGAGATGTCACTCACTTTTCTTTCTAGTCAAAATATTCAGCAGTGGGAAGCAACAAAGTATAAATAGTTTGATACTGTACTTAAGTAGATTTTTCAGGTATAATCTTTTAAATCAAGCCACCTCACAAATGAAATAAACTGTGCAACTGGTTTTCAACTACAATGTCATGTGGATTTGAAACCTCAGTGCAAATGAACGAGTAATTAATATAGGCACCCTTATCACTAAACAAGCGTATTATGATACGATATATGAAAATACTAAATGGAGACGATTCCGTATTTATCAACGTTAGCGTTAGCTACTTCCACAACGGGAAGGACGCGTAAACAAGCTGCGCTCTCATTGGTCAGTTCGCTAAAAAGCGGCAACCTGATTGGTCCTCAAAATAAAAACAACCACAGGTCACATACCCGGAAGAAGTTGTTTATCGCGGCTTTGATAATCGTAGTGAAGTGGTAAATTATCAAGGGTGTATGAAATATCATTTCTTACTCTTTTTCTTCTCTTCATTTGCCATCGACTCTTCGGGAGGTGAGTGTAACTCCTCTTTCTGCGGCTCGTTTGGTGACTCGGCATTGTCAGACATCTTTGTCGACGGCCGGACTTTTGGTTGCCACCCACCGGACCTCGACGAGGCGATTCGTCTTCCGGTTTCGACCTCAATTGGTTTACAACGACGTCAATCATTCAAACGTAACGCCTCTAGCGTACAGGACACAAAACAGTCTGCCGTCTGCATTTGCGACCTCGATCTGTGTGCCTGTCCAGGTTTGTTATTTTTGATATTTGCTGTTTATTGCTTTATGTGAATAAGCCACGATACCTCCTTCGGGTTCATTCTGTCTTCTGATTACTTGGACGGGAGTTGCTCTTTCTTTTTGGCATGGTTGGTTACGTTTTCCCTTTTAACACAGGTAGTGGTGTCACATGAGGACACTGTAACAGTTGGAACTTCAAACAGTGCGCTTCACAGTTAATCAGCAACAGTAAGTCACCTTGGCCTTGCAGAGGCAGTTTTGTTGTTACGTCCGGCGTCCGTTTCGAAAGCAGGTTCAGTGATAACCCCGGATCTGTTAACCCTAAAAGGAGGGGAAACTCAGAGTTTCAAAAAGGGATTTACCGTAACTCAAATCAGAGAAAGACAGGTAAAACTTGCATGTTACAGAGAGAGAGGTAACCTGAGTAACTCAAGCTGGGACCAGGTTTTTCTCAATAAACATTGAGTTTCTCTCTGCCAAAACCTTCTACCAACTACCCCGCATATACATCCTGTCATGTTGACAGTGGCAGGCATCGGCAGGCTCTCCACCAAGGATGCGGTGCTCCTCCTGTGCGACATGCAAGAGAAGTTCCGACCCAACATCTTTCAGTTTACCAACATTGTCAGCAATGCCTCCAGATTGCTCCAGGTTATGACGATCGCCTTGCGGTTTAAAAAAAATAAAAGAGAAAAAAAAACGCAAACAAAAAAAAACTCTCCTACGTCCTCTTTAATCTTATCCGACCCCCGTTCCGGTAGGCCAGCCGGGTTCTCGGCATCCCCGCCATCCTGACGGAGCAGTACCCTAAAGGTTTGGGCCCCACGGTGCCGGAACTAGGAGCGGAGGGCTTGACGGCTCACGCTAAAACATCCTTCACCATGATGATCGAGGAGGTGCAGAATGAAATGCAGACTCTGGGGAACCCTAAGCAGGCCATCCTGTGTGGCATCGAAGCGCATGCTTGTATTGCGGTAAAAAAAAAAAAAAAAAAAGGTTGCAACTTGATTAGTAAATGAGTGACAAGCTCTGTCTGATTCAACTTTGCTCACTTCACAGTGTACGACATTTGACCTGCTTGAAAAGGGAATCGAGGTCCACATTGTGTCGGATGCCGTCTCGTCGCGGAGGTAGCCGCTTTACCCGCCCGCCGCTGTCCGACGTGTTTCCACAGCTCAGTGCTTGTATTTTCTTTCCGTGCAGCCAGACGGACCGCTTGTTTGCTCTCTCCCGCCTGAAGCAGAGTGGCGCCTTCCTCACCACCACCGAGGCCGTCCTGCTGCAGCTGGTCCAAGGCGCCAAGCACCCCAACTTCAAGGAGGTGCTTCTCGTGTACTTTACTCGCCACAACATTTAAAACAACCACCGTTGTATGCAAAGTGCTGGACATGGAGCAAAAATAATTCATACAACAACAAACAGTCAAACAAATTAATAACAAAGACAGCAGCATCCTGACGAGTACCAGTCAAGAGGCGAGCAGCAGCATTCTGGACCAACTGGAGAGGTTTCATGGAGGATTGGCTGACTCCAAAGTCAAGTGCATCACAGTAATCCGGCCGAGATGTGACAAAAGTATGAATGACCGATTTGAGAAAGGAGTGGCTTGACTTTAGCCAGCTGCCTAAGATGAAAGAAGCTGCATTTACACGGCACCGATTTGCCAGTCCAATTTAAAATCACTGACCAATTTGAGACCCAAGTTCGAGACTGTTGGCTTAAGACAAGGAGCCAGGGGGCCCAAGTCCACAGAATGGGATGGACAAGGGCCAATGGTACCAAACAGCATCACTTCTGTCTTCCTTCTATTGAAATTCAAGACATGGAGTGCCGTCCAGGTGTTGATTTCCTGCAAACAGGATGAATAATTATCTCCGTAACGATTCATTTTGTGTCACCCCTCGCCCCAGATCCAACAGCTTATGATGCAGCCTTCACCTGACACGGGCTTGCTCGCCTACTTCAGTGCGCTCTAAGGAGAGAAAGAAGACGACCTATTTGCAAACTATGAGGACCTCCAAAGCCATCGACGTACTAAGTGCTTCAATAAAAGGATGCTGCATTATTCAGTGTCTACGTCTGTTTGTCTGAGTGCTTGGAAACGGCAGTAATATGGAAAGCCATTGGAGATCTTTCATCCATTTCCTGAGTGCGGTCTTTGTCTTCATAAGTCATACGGTTTGGTGTACTAGGAGAACAACTGTGTTGTCCTGGTCATGTCCCCCCACCTCACTCCCCTCCATTTGTGAATTATGGCTCTGACAGTGGTTCGCTGGAGCCCCAGGATCTTGGAAATGACTTTGTAACATTTTCTAGATTGATAGAGTTCAATCACTTTTTTTTCTAATTTCTTCTCAAATTTGTTTGGATCGTGGCATGATGCGTTTGTTTCTTGAGATCTCGTAGCCTACTTCACTTTGTCTGGCAGATGCAAACCAATGCACTCGTTTGCAACAGCGCGCGACCAGCGCAATTGGCTATCGATGATATGACATCAATTCTTCTCAAACGGCTTTCCACTCAGCGCAGCAGTCGCGCTCCCTTCTGCTGTGCGCACGGAGCGAGGGGAGGAGTCCAAAAGCGATGATGTCACCCATGAGGGAGGGGCGCCTGACGTCATTCATGTACAGGCAGAAAAAGGGAGGGGAAGGAAAAAGGAAGCTCACCCGATAGGTCTCGTTGTGTACAAAGTTCCACAAAACTTTTTTTTTCTCCCCCCGACTCGAGTTCTGGAGGGGGACTGCAATGCCGTGGGGGCAGACCTGAAGGTGAGAGGGTGGGATTAGTGCTTTTGAAATTGTGCACCCCCACTACGGTGGTAGCATGAAATAGTCACACTTTTTCAAGGCCTTGGCCCTCGAGTGGGTACGGGAAAGCAAAGCACTCGTTTATACCCCCGCGCCGTGGAGCGGTCGTGCGCGTCAGTAAGTGCGCGTGTCAAGTGGAAGGCGATCGGATCGTTTCAGGCGAAGTGAAAGTATGCAGTTGCGACTCAAAGTCCACTCCTTGCCGAATACGCGAAACGGAGAGCAGTGATTCGTCCTCAGACTGCCATCATGTCCTCCAATCTGGACTCCAGCCTCACCAGCATCGACTGGCTGCCGCAACTGGGAATCAGCAGCCTGCGCTCGGGTCGCGAGCGAGGAGGAGAAAAGGAGAAGAGGAGGGACAGAGGAGGAGAGAGGGGGGACTTGTTGGCTTCCGTGCAGGACCCCTCCCTGGCCAACGCCAAAGGCAAACCCCCCCACAGCTATGCCACCCTCATCGCCATGGCCATCGCCGCCGCACCGGAGAGGAAGCTGAGCCTCAATGACATCTACACCTGGATCAGTGACACGTTCCCTTACTACAGTCGCACAGGCCGCGGATGGAAGGTACCCCCCGCCTCCGATTCTCATCTCGGGTTGTTTTTCTTTTTGGGACAGCTTGACGTCCTGATGAGCGTTTTATAACAAAGAGTTCCAGGTGCTCCACTTCATCGGGTACGCAATGAAATATTTGCGCGTTTGGGCTCAAGTCGGAAGAGGCGTCTTTGGCTGCGCAGATTCTGCCACCAACTTAAGTGCGACCTTAAAATCAGGGCGTGACCCTGACACATCGGTCTGCGCGCAGCGGAACTTCAGCATCTTTTCTCTTCCGCGCTCCGGAGGCTGTATTAAGGTGTTGCACCAGGGGCGGAGCTATGTGGTGGCCACAGGTGGCCATGGCCACTATCTGCTAAACATTTTCAAACTTGGGACTTTTCGGGTATTTTCATGTGGATGCAATGTCCTTCAAATCCGAGGCTTTTGCCACAAAGTCATTTTACACAACTACATACTGTACGAGTAAACTTGCAATTGAACTATATGCTAATTATAAAACAACCAGTCTCCCTCCATGAAAAAAAAACACTTCATTCTTGCAGTGACGATCAATCCCAAATCATGACTTTGACACCATCCGAAGCAGATGTGTAAAGTAACAGAAGTCATTGTTGATCAGAGCATCCACAGTCACGGTTTTCGTGAAATAAAATGCACACATATCTTGCCCAACGCATCCATCATACAAACGTCAACAACCCGACTTAGAATTCTGAAGAATCATGATATTTTTGTGTCCTTGTGCTTTTAAGATATGATTCGAATGCAAAATGTTTCAGCTGTAGGTGGCAGCCGGACACTCTGATTGGCTGTTTGCTCGCAAGTCAGGGCAGGAGATAGAAGTCGACTATGGGATAAAAAATTACTGTTTCAAAGCGCTAACGACATGAACAACAACAACAAAAAACCCCCAAAGATATTTAAAAGAAAATAGATCCTACTCACCAGAGATGCTGATGATTAATCACAACAGACAAGTTTTACTCTGACCAGCCAATCAAATGAGGACAAGCGCTACGAACTAAACGGATGCTTAAAATGACCAAATTGTGTAAATTAATTATTGGGAGGGTTTGTAACTCCATTTATAAATCAAGAATAAGGAGCCGTTTAGAGAGAAGTGGAATCTTAAATTCATTGTCATAATATTTGCTTAGACTGCTCACACACACACACACAGTGCATTATTGTCTCTTGGCTGGGCTTCATGGTGACATAATGTTGTTCTGAACAGAACTCCATTCGGCACAATCTGTCCCTTAATAAATGCTTCAGGAAAGTTCCTCGTCCTCACAACGACCCTGGAAAGGTAAATAGTTGCGAAGCTTGCACAATTTTGCCCCATCTATGTTGGCCGAATGTTCACCGCAAAATGTCATGTTTTGCCTTTCCCAGGGCTCCTACTGGACAATGGACGGCCCTGCGATGTCCATTCAAGCCAGGGCGACGAAACGCCCCTACCCGGACGACGAAGAGCAAAGGCTGGATGTGTGTCAATCATTCAAAATCAGTCGACAAGCATGCGCTTATTTCATTCGGTTGAATAATTACGTGACGCAAATTTGCTTTCAGTTGAGGTGGTTTTTCTGTTGTCACCAGTGCGACATTGTTATTTGACAGGCCCCCCAACAACCAGCAAGAAGCCCCTCTCCTCATGCAGATTCCCATCAAGACGGCGGTGTACCTATTAAAAAGTCCCTGCAGCAGCCCCAGCGGCCCGCCTCCCTCTCTCCTCCCCCATGCAAGGTAAGCAACATCCTGAGCCTTCATTTCGTCCCCGCCCTTTCCATGAAGACTTACTGTACCTGAAATCATCCCACTACTATCATGTCACAATTAAAGAAACTTGGGACGGCTCAGTACCGATACCAGGTCTTGGTATCGGGCAGATAGCGGCTATATCTTAAGATATTGTGGAAACTGTCGATACCAGCCACGATACTTAAATTCTGAGATCAAGTAAGTGCCTCCAAGGCAGTCGTCTTTTTCATACAGTGGCAGTTTGACACATCGGCGAATTGTCTATGTCAGAAAGAAGGCTTGTTCAGAGGATGCGGAAATGCTGCTGTCGTCAAGGGCCAGCGCTCTGGCCCAGTGAGGATGAATTTGAAATCTAATCGGTTAAAGCAGGCATGTCCAGCTCCGGGCCTGGAGGGCTGCCGTCCTGCCTCGTTTTTCCCCATCTCTCCCGGCTGCGACACACTTGATTCAGATGATCAGCTTCATCAGTCAGTTCTGAAGCAGCATGAGAACGATCCTGATTATTTGAATCAGGTGCGTTGCTCCCGGGAGAGTTGGAAGACAGGCAGGACAGCGGCCCGCGAGGACCGACTTTGGACACCCCTAGATTAAAGAAACAGGACCATCGTTTGAATGGTTGAAGTTACAATAGCGAGCACTGCAGGTTAGAGTGATGTGACAATTTACAGAGGCTAAAATCTGATTGGACAAAAAGAAAGGAAAAAAAATCCACCATTCACAATAATCTGTCATTTATCAGCACATTCCACACGACAGTAATTATAGTTAAATGTGTTCATACCTTTGAAAGGCAGGTCTGGTCTGGTCCGGTCCGGTCCGGTCAGCAACATGGAAGTGAACATCGAATGTTTGCGGCATACTTGTGGCTGACTTCCTGGTTAGCATTAGCCGCTGTGGTGTTCAGTGACGGTGTCAGTTGAGGCCACCGATAGGTGTGCTCCAAATGTGCCTCTGTTTTCTGTCTTGTGTTTTTGTTACCGTTTGCTTAATAAAGCGATTGAAAGCACTGGACCACCTGTTTTGGCTTCCGGTGTGTTTGAAGTCTTTTAAGTTGAGGCTAGATTGCATTAGCTAACATCCTTGACTAGAGCAGCGCTACCGTATTGTACCTCATAATAAACAAAGATGGAAAAAAGTAGGAGAACCGTGATCTCGTGATGAGACTGCATTGAGGGGAATCAATGTCAAATGAATAGAAGAGACTGTTGGTGATCAATGAATAGACTTCAATGGAACAAATAGTCGAATTTTGGCTGTCAGCGTCACTTCCTGCGATGGCTTTCATTGTACTAATACATCGTGTTGTATCTTTGCAGCAACCATACACGCAAGCTCCCGTCACCCCCATCAATAGCCCCCCCAGACCCGGGCCCACTCCCCCTATCCCCGCCATCCCCCCTCGATCCGCTGCCGGTGCCTGTCCGACATTCCGTGCCCACTCAGGAGCGGAATTTGTTCCCTCTTCCTCCTCTTTCTCTCAACCGAGCCCCTCAGCTGTCACTTTTTCTTCCCCTTTTCCTTTACCTGTGACCACCCCCAACTCAGGCGGGTTGGGACAGCCCACGGCGGAACCCCCGCTGCGATTCACCTTCGACGAGATGAATTTACCCGACTTGTATGCGTCTTTCAAGTCTCTGTTTAAGAGCATGAGGGAGAGAGGAGGCTCACAAGGTAAGTCCCCGACCCCCCAAAAAACTGAGAGAATCATGACGCACCGACGCCATCATCCTTTAAGTTTTGATAGTGTTATTATTCTAAAGACATTTTTGGGCTGACTTCCCCTTAAAAGAGCCAAAACCTTTTGGTTTATTCTTGATCATCTTTTTTAAATTAATCGTCCAATTAATTGGCTGTCGTTATTTTACTCTGCCCAATTTCGGGATGGGCCTGAAAAAATACGTAACGGTTGGGCCCTTCGTATGCACCCGAGGTTGTCTATTTTGGAATTTTGGACCCAAATTTTTAGGTGTCACCATATGCACTCGAGTGCTTTGTCACGCTCTCGTACTTGACATGTTGGAACACATTCAAGTGCGTTTGTGTCAGCTGAGATGAGGCATCGCCAGTATGATACAATGTTGCACGCACTGAGAACTCCCCCTCAGGTTACGGACTGATCTGACGACTTCTTTTTTTTTTTTTTTTAATAGCTGATTCTGTGGCAATGCCAAGCAACGACATCACCCCGCTTCACACTCCGACTCTCCTGCCCATGTCTCCTCACCTTGCACCAGCACCAGCACCACCACCGGCGACCGTGGCACCACTCGCACCACCTGCCCCACCGGGCGACACAGTGCGCCTTTCACAGCACAGTGAGTCTCCAAATAGGTCGGATATTAGGCGAGAGGTGGGGTACGCATCTACACCTATGGACAGTGGAATGTCTTTGAGGAACCATCCACGCATACTGGGATAATTGCCGACAACGAGGCCATGCCAGCGGACGATACGAGGCGAAGATGCATTTTGGGGGTGTAGGCATAGCGAGCAAGCATAGCCACTCATGCAATAGATGGTCGAGTTCTTATATAGTGGGGGAGGGGCTACTCATACCAGGGCCCGAGTGTGTCGTATGTTATTTAACATGAGAAACAACTCTGTGAATTGACTTGATGAGATCTTGAAATTGCCGTCTTGTGTTTTCTGTAGCGGTTCCGGCCGACTGGTTCACAAGCACAGACTCTCTGAAGGAGAGCTTCCGCATCGCCAGCAACCTTGACTGGGCTAACATTGACCTCTCTGGTCACCCAGGTTCGACCGCGCTAAAGCACCGATTCGCCCCGTGACCTCTGAACTCGACGCTCTCCTTCTGCTTTGTGTCGTCAGACTTGCTGGAGAGCATGCGCCAAGCGGAGCTGTGCGACTGGGCCCTGGACCCGGCGCTTTTCACTTCCCTGTGCGACTCCCTCAACCGTTTCTTTGCCCAGAAAGGCATGCTGACCTCGGGGAGTCCCTCCCCGCTGTCCATGGGCGGGCATCACCCCTCGCAGCCGCATCTCGCCGTCCATCCCTCGTCCTTCCACTACAGCCCCGTCAACGGTTCGCCGCTGCCCCGCAGGCCTCTACACACGCAAGGCCTTAACCTTCACCGACCTGTGCACGCGCCGCCTGCAAACATAGCCGGTAAGACCTGGTCAATGGCGTCTTTTGGAAATCCCTCAGTAGTCTTACCAACAAGTACATCCAGGAACATCTACAGTGATAACTTGACCTCGAAGTGCCCCCACCACCCCTCCAACGTGCGAGTTTTTATGAGTGACAATTTGAGTATATTGTTTTGCAACGATACTTCACCATATTCATAATTTGATATGTACCCGTGTGTCGCCAAAGTACACACAGGCGATGTATGAAGTTGTGCTGGGTACAGTCGCCTTGTGGCAATTTGCTTCCGGAAATGTTCTTATCAAAAAAAGGCTTTCTGCTCACCTTACCAGTGGGGCTCAGAACAGCAATGAGGTGAACATGTTTGTATGTCTCAGGTGGTCCACAGCCTCCTGCTGTAGCGCCACGGCCACGCCCACCTTTTAAGAGTCTCCACAGCAACAGCGAGGAGATCCAGGATGACTTCGACTGGGATTCGCTACTCGCCTGAATAAGGAGACATCAGCAAACACGATCGCCGCTTTCTTGTGGAGCTTGTCCGAAAGTGCGTTTTCGATGTTTTTCATCCCTTTGACGCCCGATCCTAACTTCTCATTGCCGCGTGCGTTCTGCAGGTAATCATCGGGGGGTGGTTTTTGTCATGGATTTTAAAAAAAAGCAATTTGATCAAGGAAAATAAAATATACATTTATTCTTGTCACATTATTGTACTCTGCAGCAGTAAAAATTGCAAATAGGAGAAAGACATTGAAGTACAGCACAAGCATGAAACCAACCATAACGCCCCCTCCCCCATCCTGTTTGCTTTTTGTTAGATTTCATACATTTCGTTTTCATTTTACTTGTCAAATGTGAATGTTCACAAGCAACACAATTACCCAGTATAAGATTTTTTTTTTCTTGTTGATATAAAATGTGTAAATTAAAAGAACCGCATGGAGCATGTTGTCAAGTCTTTTTTTTTGGGGGGGGGGGGGCATCATCTTCTCCACTCATTCATTTTATCAATGTCTATTCCCAACAGCACAGCGGGCCCAAACGAGGGCAGTGCAGCTTTTCGGGAGACGTACAAACGGGATTGAAATGTAGCGGATGATCAAAAATGAAATCGGATTGGCAGTCAAATGTGCGACCCTCAATCATCGCTCATTTGAAATTTCCAACATTGCGGAGCAATAATACAGGTTAGACTTTAAAAACAAATAATCAACGGCTGCAAATCTCTTCTGTTGAGTGAGTCACTGAAACAAGACAAAACAGAAAAGAAAAGAAGGGCGACGGTGAAACACGTACACAGAAAGGCATTGGAAATATTTCAGTCTTGCACAAATAAGCGTTTGTCATCTCGCACACTTGCGTCACTTTTCGCACACATCGCTCACAGTTCGGCCAGGGGCACCGATTCAGCTTCCACAGCAAATTAGGAAATAAGGAAAATAAGCATTTCATTTATTTATATATGGCATGATCACATTTGATTTTCCTTAATTGTTCCCAAAAAGTGGACAAAAGTAGAATAAATTAGACTTAAATTAACTGAAATGATTTGACCACATTGTACCCGGCTTTTTTTTTTTTTTTTGTCTTTCCTTCTTCAGTCCATGTGCAGCTTATTAAAAATCATTCTTCAGGTGTGCATTTGCTCTCACAGATTCAGCGTTTATCGAGGGAGAGGCGGCAGAGTTTCCCCCTTGGGTTTGATATTTGTCCTCGGCGGCCGCTTTTTCCTCTCTCTCTCTCTCTCTCCTTGTGCGCCAATGTTAGACGTGCGCTTCACGCGGAAGAGAAGGATGAGAAAATAAATAGATCTTCTATTTCCCTCTGGGCCCCCAAAATAACCCCCCTCTTGAAATGAATGTGGTGAAATGAATCCCCAGTGAAATGCTTTCCGGACAGACAGAAATCCGATTTTCTTTTAAATATCGCGTGTTGACTAAAAAGGGAGCAGCAGGTGACGACAGAGGAGGTTGAAACGGCTGTTCTCAAAGAAGAAACGGGTTGGTGCTGGCCCCCGCCGTTCCGGCGCCGCCCACCGCACCCCCCGCGCCCATCACTCCTCCCGCTCTGCCGGGCCCGCCCAAAATCAGCTGAGGAGGCGCGAGCCCTCCGGGGCCCAGCATCGCGGAGCCGGGCGGCGCCATCGGGGAGAGCCCGCCGTAGCCCACGCCCACGGGGCCGGCCTGCATCATACCCAGGCCCGTGACCGGCGGCCCCATGCTCAGGGGGCCCAGGGCCATCGCGGGGGGCGGCACGCCCAGCAAGGGGTTGGGAGGCACGGGGCTGGTGCGAAGGCCGCTCAAGCCCAGCGACGAGGGCTGAGGCGAGATGGAGGTCATGGCCGCGGCCGCGCCGAAAGGGTTGGAAGAGGCCGGGGTCGGAGAGACGCCGCGGCTGGAAATGGAGCTGCCCGGGGTCACGGCCATGTTGGGTGCTGGGGAGGAGCCTGAAGGCAAAACCAGGGGGCGGACTGTGACAACATCTCACAACAAATACCGAGTTCAGTCGGGTCACCGGAACATGTCGAGACAGAAGCAGGAAGCGCGGCGTGCATCGAGAACGGACACGCGCCACTCGTCTAGCGGCAATTGCTTGACCGCAAGTGACAATCAGCTGACATGGCTCCAGATACGGAATATGGGAGGGGTAACGGACAGCGGAAAACAACGCCCGTCATGCGAGCGAAAAACAAATCCGTTTTACTCATCATCACTGGTATAATATTCTTCCTTTGCATCTAACAACAAATATACTGAGCTTTTTTTTTTTTTTTTTAATTTGGTAGTTTACATTTCATTACTGTCGTTATTTAACTTTGGCCTTAGCGTTTTTTTTTTCGTGGACCTCTGCCCGCAGTTTAATTTTTTTTTAAGCCTCGGCTGGTGTTACGGGCTTTATTGATGCTTTCAGCCTCAGCGTAGTACATATTGTTCAAGTGTTCACGTTGACAACGTGCACGCCTCACTCGTCAATTTTGGATGTTTTGGCGCTTCGCGTCAATGGCCATCGCGCGGTTCTTCTCATCAAGGTCAAACAATTCTTTTGCCAGTGGTTGGAGCTCACCCGTGTTCTGGAGGAAGGGATTGTGCGCCGACGATGAGGAGATGGAAGGTGGCGGCGGCTGTTTGGGTTTGGGCTTGGACGACACCAGCGAGTCGAGATCAACCAGAGCCGCGTTGGGCCCGAGGAAAGACTCGGGAGTCTTGCGAACGGGAAGGGAGGAGCCGATGGAGGAGAGGTCAAAGGGTACGGGCGAGCCCGTGCTGTTGCAGCCCGCCGCAGAGGACCCTCGTCGCTCGGGGTCTCCTAAGAAATGAAGAGCGCAGTCGATGGCCGGAAAAAAACCAAAACAGGAATCGAACCACGCAGAGCTGAAGGGGATGAAATGTTGGACGAACGCAACAGGAAGGTGTCTAACTTAAGCGTGCGCTCGGACGTGGATGTGACACACGGGTGTGAATGTACCTGTGCCGTTTGTGTGTTTGGCGCAGTCACTCCAGATGTCGGGTGTGATTGGGTCAGAGGCAGGGAGGGGCACGTCCTTCGCCCAGGGGTCTACTGGGCCCCCTGAGGAGGAAGTGCTGGGTGGCACTGAAGGGCCCCAGGGGTCGACACCGGGGGGTGTCACGGCTACAGGGGGAGGGGGGTAACACAACAACTTTGAGTCATGTCAATTGGATTTTGGAGAGAACCAAAAAAAAACCCACATCTGGCAACTCGGTTCAGTCGACCACCAAAATTGACCCAAGTCATCAATGGAATAATTTGTTTCGACAAAGATTTGTTCATGACAGCCTGAAATGTCATTGTCAATTGATTTTTCTGCAGGCAATGAGGAAAAATAACCAGCGCTGTCTTTTTTTGAGGAAAAACCAAATTGGAGCTTTTATTTTGAAGCCAGAATCGTGCCGTCCCGTTGCAAATCTACAATTCGGGAAGAAGCAGCAAGCTAAGTTTCCAAACCAGAGGCTCAATTTTTTGAGAAGGTTGCGGCTTCCTAAATAAGCCCGCGCGAGCCAACCCGAAAGAGAAACAAAAGGGATTCACATCCTGCTTTTGACACAGAAGGAGAATGGATCGAACAAGGCATGCTTTCCGCCAGGTCAACCTGAAAGCATGCCAGTCAAGGACAAGACACGGCAGCATGGGAACAACGCGAGCGCTGCGTGGCCGGGACACGGACGGGCGGGGAAAGCCGTTCTCGTTGCCTACCTGAGCTTCCCCAGGGGTCCGCGTTGTTCACTCTGTTGGAGGTCTCTCCCCAGGGGTCCGGGGGAGGGGCTACGGTCTGCGGCGGCCCTCCGGCCCAGGGATCGGAGCTGGTTGGGGAGGCGGGCGAGGCTACGCCCCAAGGGTCTGCGGCGGACGTACCCCATGGTCCCGAAGGGGCGATGGGAAGGGAGGGCGGAGGGGAAGGGCCGGCTGAGCCCACGGCGGGGACGGGAGCGGCGGCGACGGGAGGGGGCCCCCAGGGGGCCACGGCACTCAGTTCCATGAGGGCGCTCTGCGTGAAATATCCTTTCCGTTTTATCCAGACTGCATATTCCGTTACATTTTTCAAATGCGGATGAAGACCGCCTTTTATGTGGCCCAAGTTCCAAGCAGAGTTTTTGTCGGCTGAAACGCTCACATTTTTAGGCACGCGCGGGTGACAGTGCAGTTTGGTCGTCCATTTCCTAAATGGCTCTCACCACAAGCCGAGCTGTCGGGTTAATATCGAGTCGGGTTGGATTTGGTGTCCATGTGTCACTTTCCAAACTTTTTGCTTCTATGTGGCGCAGCGGAGACTGTGGGCAGTCTTGGGACTGCCCGGCTCGGTTTGATTGGCAAAACGAAGTCAAACGTCACGCGTAATGACGATGGATTGGCGAACCAATCATGTGACGCAACTCTCTGAAGAAAGGATTAGGCGCGCAATAATCGAGATAAAGATACGAGGAGAGAGGAGAGAGTAGCTCGGTGTGGCGGAGAAGACTGAGCATTTCGGAACAAAAAAAAAAGCATTTTGTTGCATTTAAACAAGCCCAATATGTAACATTTATCCAAAAACTGAACGTGGAGTCAATGGAAGCGAAGACAAAATCACTTTGGGGAAAAAGGTGAATTCAAAAGACATTCCTATCCAAGCAAGTGATGTTTGAGAGCGACACACACACACCCACACACACCCACACACACACACCCACACACCCACACACACACACCTCTTCTGGTTTGGCTTTCTCCCTCTTGCTCTCCTCGATGGCCATCTGCAGTCGCAAGTCGTCGCCTCTGCGCAGTCGTTCCTCCTGCCAATCACATTTACACACACAAACACACAGTGACATGAGCAAAGTCGAATACACAACTTGAGGTAGGCAATAAGATTTTTTTTTTAAGAGTCTTAAGACTGCTTTCTACAAAGTCCCTTGGGTAACATGAAATGAAATACAGTCTAAGAATAGGTTGAGATGCATATAAAGCTCATATATTGACAAATTACTCTGGACAAATCAGAGGTTGTCTTATTTTTTTTCTTCCTTTTTAGGCTCATGAGGGTCTGTTCAAAAGAAGTAGCACATGCTGACCCAACTGACTAACCAGTTTGAAGTCTCACAGCACGTTGCAGGGTAATTACCAACCGGGGGTCTCCTTATAGGAGGAACCCGACAATGGAAGTCAACAAACAAAGGAGAGGCATGTGCCATATCCAGATCATTGAGTGACATTTGATCTCAGGGCTGAAAAACAAAGACTTGACCGCATATGTTGTGGTTTCAGGAAGAAACACAGAAAGATAACAGGAGTGAGATGGCAATAGGAGGGATTTCGATTCAAGCCCAAAGTTCAGCGCATGAGGAAAGAATCAACATTTGCTGAGTACACCATTCAGGGTTAAACGTGGCGTTAGACAAGATATTTGGCATGCAAAAATTCCACCATTGGGATCGATCAGATTGAAACCATGAAATACAGCCGATACATTCGTGTGCTTGGTC